GTGGATTTTAAAATTTTTTTTTCGTTTTTTTTTTTTTTTTTTTTTTTTTTTTTTTTTTTTTTTTTTACAAACATTTGGAAAGCGGCGTGCTGCGGGCACGGGCCTGTGTGTTCTTCTGCAATTGGAGCGCTCGCAGCCTGAAGACCACGGTTCCTGGGAAGCGGCGTGGTCTCATCAGCCAAGCGCTGATGACCTGCCCTGGGAACGCCAGGGACCGAGTCCTGTTGCTCCCGTCCCCTCCCTGCTCTCGCTCCCCAGGGCTGAGCGTGGCTGTGCCCGGCTGTGCGGTGCTGGTGACCTCTAGTGACAAGCTGGTGTCTGCGGGGAGCTGGCTGGCCCCCAGCCTGGCCTGGTGGCGGTTTTGGGGCTCCGGGGCGGTTCCTGGCTGGGCATCGCTTGCTCTCGCTGGGTGGGTGCCCGGGTGCTGCGCTGGTCCTGGGACTGAGATATTGCTGTTTCACTGTAAAATGTAAGTTAAATAGCGATACGTACGCACCTATGTTATCTATCCTGAGAAACACTAATCCTAGGTAATTAGCCTGATTATTAAGTTGCATGACTAGAGAGAATCACGTCCGCAGGATCTGGTGCTCTGCAGTGGCTGCAGCCAGCGGTGCTGGGGCAGCAGCGCACGGCGGGATGATGGGGCCTGGAAGGGAAAAGCACTGATTTGGGGGACTGGTGTTTTCCCCCCTCCATCCCCCCTTTTCTTCTTCAGAGAGGTGGTGACGGGGAGAGGAGCTGGGAGCGCCGGCGGGGAGCAGCAGGAAGGCTCGCCGAGCGCCCGCGCGTTGGCCCTGTGCACCGCAGGGGTGACTGCAGCGCCGGGGCCACCCGGCTGGGCAGAGGGCACCACCGAGGTGGATGCTCGTCACGTGGCTGCGAACATCCCCCTCCTCATCACCCCAGCTCTGTTTTATGTCCGGCCTTTGCCCTCTGCCTCCTTTCTGGGGAAAGCCCTGAATTTTGGGACTCCCTCCCTTATTTCTAGGTAGCCCTGCCCCCGTCCCCCCCTGCAGTTCTGTTTCCTCCCCCGGGGGAGGGAGAGGCTTTTTGGTCTCCTCCCTTTATTTTGCCCCAGTCAAACCAAAGTGGTTTCCTCCCCCAGGGCAGGGGTGCTACCGCTCCGCCTGGCCCCGGACACCGGTCCTGCCCTGGGGATGGACCAGAAAGTGGGGAGGGCGGGGATTACTGGAGTGAAACTTATGGAGCAAAAAACTACTGTAAATATCTTTTTGTTTGTTCTTCTGTTGTCAAATAAAAGTTTTTTAGTTTTGGTTTTTTTTTTTTTTTTTAAATACGAGCTGTGTGTTAGGCTGGGCTATGTCAGTTGTGGGTGGCTCACTTGCTCCTCCCTCACCGCCGCCCCCAGCTCCTGACGATCAGCCAAAGCAGCTTAAGAGGTCTAAGGAGCGTTGCTGGGTGTGGATAAAAGGGGCCGGTGCCTGGCACAGGCCTGCACCTACGCCACCGTCGCCTGCTCTGACAGCCGTTACGTGCTCGCTTCCCGCAGCATTTGCTCCTCGTGTCTGGGAGCCAGAAAGTATTTGGCGGCAGCAGCAAAGGGCTGATGCATTTGTGTCTTCCCTCCTCCTGGCCAGCACTGGAAAAGTGAGACAGCATCGCTGCTAGCCCCTTGGCAAAGGGAAAAAGAAACCATCTCTGCGAGGCTCCACCGCACAGAGTGTCCTGGGTCAGGAGCCCCGTGTGAGGCGGGCAGGGGTCTTGCAGAGCCGCTGCTGGAGCAGCAGCCCCAGCCAGCCTTGCTCTGCCGCAGAGGGCAGGGGCACGGGCCCAAGGGCTGCTGCACCGCTGGCATGGACGCTGGCGGCATGGGCGCCGCGGCAAGGCTGGGCTCGGGACTGCTGTGCCTGCTCCTGCGCTGCCCCGGGGGCTCGGCCAGCCTCCGGCACGCACCAGGCGCGTGCACACCGATATTGCGTCTGCTAGCGACTTCCACGCGCATCAGCTCCAGGCTGCAGCCTGCGCCAGCTGGATGCCCTGCCCCCCCTGAGATGGACGCCTGCTCTCTGCCATAGCAGGGCTGGAGTGGGGGCTAGCACCGGTTCGAGCCCCCTTGCCCCTGGCTTCCTGTGGCGCTGGGTGACCCAGGGGCTCTGCGCCCCGGCAGGGGCTGCGGAAGGATGGAGGCACCCGGCCTCCAGCCAGGCCTCGCTCCAGGGAAACCCCTGGGCAGCTCTGGTGACAGGACTAGCACCGGGGCGTCCCCGCCCCGCGTGGGCTGCTGGCGCTTTGTGCTCAGGGCGAGGAACGCGGGCTGGGGCGCCCGGGGGGCGGGGGTGCCCGAGCCAGGACTCGGCCACGGCAGGGCACTGCCAGCCCAACGCGGGCCGGTGGCCTGCACAGCAGCGGGGGGGCCCGGGGGGGGAAAAAACCCGGGGCCCCCCTTTTTTTTTGGGGAAGGCGCCCCCTGCCCCAGGGGGCGGGGGGCGCCCCCCGCCACGGGCTGACGGGCAGGCGTTTCCCGCAGCCACAGGGAGCGCGGGGGCACAGCCGGCGTCCTCGCCCTCCGGCGCGGCGCTGAGCGGCCGTACCCGGGGAGGCAGGACTCTGCCCGCCGCCAGCGCCTCCGGGAGGGGTCCTGCCCGCCGCCCACCACCAGCCCTGTCCCAGCCCTGCAGCCCCCCGCCCTGTGCTCCGCCCTGGGCACGCTCAGACACTGCACTGAGCGCAGAAAAGCCTTGTTAACGTGACGCTTTCATGCTTTTTGTGGCGCAGCCAACGCTGCCCTGAAAATACCCCCACGGTAAGGCTTCGGGAGGCCCTCCCTGGCCGCTGCATCCCCCATCGCTGTAGCGCGGCGGCAGCGCAGGGCCTCACGCCGTGCCCCGAAACAGCGCAGCCGGAAGGCAGGGTTACGCGTCGCGAGGGTCTCCGAGCCCCCAGGGACCCCCAGGGTCAGCGGCAGCACAAACCATCCCCCTCCTGCGTCCTGCTGCGCTCCTCTTACCTGGCAACGCGGGGAGACGCTCCCCCGGCACCGCT